CCCCTGTTGCAACTAAGGTTCCTGATGTTGTTCGCAATATGTTAGTAAAGATGGAAACTGTGCACAATATTTTCAAAGTTATTGTGGATGATGTTACACCAACTGATGTTATTCTGGTGGAGGAGAAGGGTAAAGTAAAGAGGGAGGTGGTTAATCTTATGTGTAATTTGCTCAGAGGGAGGGCCTAGAACAAAGGTGATGGAGTGCGAAAGAAATTCTTCTTTGGAAGCAAAGTTTGGCAATGATTTCAATAAGGTTGAGATGATACATCTGACACGAGAATTTGAGAACCAATGGAGAAAATATTTGGACGAGTATTTTAAGTCAACCATAGATCCACATGTTGCTAATCATATACACATGGTGTGGGGAAAATTCATACAAAAGTTTGATTCAGAAGAAATTCTAGCCAAGGAGGTAAAATAACAGATGGAGGAAATCAATAGTAAGTACAAGATGAGTGCTGATCGATGCAGGAGAAGAAAAGTGTTTATCGAGAAAGCTACTATGCAAGCAAATATAAGCTTGAGTCGAGCTTCTTTCAACAATGGGAAACTAATATAGGACCTAACGAACAAATTCATGAAAAAATGGGAGCATGACGTGTCAAACGTGGATATGGATGCTTTATTAACTTGCACACAAAGAAACGAATATATCTCTTCGTCTGGAAGGCGGATTCTGAGATAATAGATATGAAAAATCGCCTATTTCAACGAGACAGGGACCATCAGCGTGGCAGATTTCTAGAAGCCCATTAGTATCACCCATTTTTGGCAGAATTTCAGAAATAATTAGCATTTTGGTTATTTTAAGTAATAAATTTAAGTATTGTTTTGGTTAAGAAACAAATTCGATTGGATCTCAGATGTGATTGATTAATTTTAGGGTAGGATTTGATATTTTCTATTTCTCTGTTATTCTAAATCTGGTAGGAGTCTATTTTAATTTTCTATTTAAGAAAAGATATGTTGCCCTAGAAAAAGATAACTTTTCATTGACAAAACTCTCTTTTATAATATTTTGTGGATTAGATGTTGTTTCTTCGTGGATTCGAAAATTATTGTTTGTGGATTTAAAGAAAACCCCTTGCTGATTCTGACATTTTTAGCTTCTGTGCTGTATTAGTATGGTTAGTAAAACACGAGGAAGATAACATTTTCAGTGAGTATGACATCTATCCCTTGTGGCTAGTGGATCAAATATATATATAACAAATTAGATGCATGATGATGGGTCCAAGTAAATGAATGGCTGTAGAAAGCTATCTAAGAAATATAGCCATGCTCTAAGATTTGTGAATAAGAGATGATAAGTTTAAATAACAAATGTTCATAAAGTATCCACTCATGTTTTTACAGCCATTTTATCATTGAACAAATTTTCAAAACAGCCCCTTTTAAATTTTTATTTTTCAAAATGGACCCTGTTTTTTTATTTTACCAAAACCGACCCGTTTTTTTGATTAGCAGCCTAATCACATTCCTAAATAGTCGGGGTTGCTAACCCCGACTATTTAGGAGGGTGTTAAACCCTAATTAGAAGCCTTAAACCATACAAATTTAAGTCCTAAATAGTCACGGTTGGTAACCCCGACTATTTAGGAATGTGATTAGGCTGCTAATCAAAAAAATGGGTCGGTTTTGGTAAATAAAAAAAAGACAGGGTCGATTTTAAAAAATAAAAATTTTAAAGGGGCTGTTTTGAAAAATTGTTCTTTTATCATTTGGTAAATTTTCCAGCATAACCTAAATTGCACGAGATGATATCAACTTTGCTCAGGTGCCCTCAATTCTAACCCATGCAGCTAATTTGTGTTGTTTGAGTTGGTGTTTGGGTGTTTTATGTCGAAAGTGAAAAGGGTGTGTAGTTGTAATGATTGCGTTCTTCCTGATAGGAGCATGCATTGAGAACTCGCTGTGAGCAAGACAGCTATTTGTTGCTCTCTAACCCATTATCTGCAGAGATACTCAAGGTGTAACAAATATATAGGCAGATTATCAAGAACATGTACATCATTCTCGATTTATGCCTCAGTTTCTCATCTTTATGCCATGATTTTTCTACAAAATCTTCTGTGGCCTTGGCAAAGAAACGGCTTATGCAAATGACTTCTTTTATTGATTAAATGTTATACTCCCAACAATTTTTTTTCATAAAACAGTCACTTTCTAAAGGCACAAACATGGGGAAAAAGGAACAGAGAGAAGGAAAAGTTTAAATAAAGAAAGAAAAGGGAGTTAGAAACAGGTCAATATCTGAGTTTAGGTTTAATCTAGTTGTTTATCTTTTATGAATTTCACTCGCATTGTAATTGTTTACCCGGAGAAGTAAACAGAAGATCATGATTCATGTAGCTTCCTGTAGCTGATCCTAAATATTTAGGGTAAGTGTTCTGTTGTTGGTGTTGTCTTGTGAGTTTTTAATCCGTAATCCTACTATATTTAGACTTTGCATTGCTAAATCTTTGCTGTTGTTTTTCCCCCTTTCAGGTGCGTTTTGTACGATCTTTCTCTGTTATTCGCCCACGGGAGTATGATAGGAAGGCAATAATAACATTGTTTCTTATGCATGGTATATCGGTGAAGATGCATAGATAAATGTTGCTGTATGAAGGCTGTGTGTGCTACACCCATTTGTTAAATTCATCATTTATCACAAAATATATTTTCCTGTATGCTTAGCTTGATGCTTGGTTTGATTTAGGGAAGTCTAAGCTGGTCATTATGGACTAGGATGATTTATATATTTTTCTATATTATAATAATACCCAGCTTTTTGGATAATGACTCTTGTTTTATTCTGAGTTTTCCCGCATTTTCCACTTTTGTTCTGAAGATAATTTGCATATTTTTTATTTATTTGAAAGCGAATGACAAGAAGATCTACACGTCGAGTAAGTATAGTATAACTAGAGAGAAGTAAAATTAACTGAACTGATAACATAAAACAAACTTTAAAAAAATGGAAGTAAAAGCAAAAGGCAGGTACCTAATAGGCTGCTCATGTCCTACTTAGTTTGGGAAGAGATCATACTTCCCTTTAGAAGGTTCTTAAAAAAAACTTTCGTCGGTCAGTTTTACCCCTAATTATTTTTAATATTAACATTCTTCTCCTAATTATAATTGATTATCAACTAAAGCTATTAACTTAACATTAAACTTTTGAACGAAAGCTCCCTCCACCGAAACTAATTAATAAAAGAATTAAGCTAATTATAATTGGTTGACAACTAAATAATAGAAAGAAGCTTAGAGGACATTACCATTGTAAACCTAACATGCATTGCATGTGTACATATTAACCAAGTGATTGATACCAAATTATGGAATTAATTAATTTATTAATAACAATTGATTGATCAAAATTTGTTTTGGTATTAGTCCTTTAAATTTTCATATTTTGAAATTAGTCCGTCAAAACATTGAAATTATTATTAGGTAACTCAATTTTTAAGTTATTTTGAAATTAGCCCTTCAAATTAATGGTATAATTAGCAATTCGAGGTACTAATTTCCTTCTAATTGCTTTTTTAACTCTTGATTGGAAGAGATAACATCAAAATAACCTAAGAATTGGGGGATGTAATAGCTATTTCAATGATTTGATGAATTAATTTCCAAATAATAAGAATTGAACAACTTAATAGTTGAAAGTGGTTATGTAAGCTTATGGAGAGATTTTTATTAAATGTTAATAGGTTTTCTTATTCTATAGTCATTAGGGATTAACATAGAAGATTCTTTTTCCTTTTCGTTTTTTACTTCGTAAGAATTTTATGTCATTTGTTATTATTAAATTTGAGGCATTGAAGAAACTAGTTGCTATATGAGTGACGAATCTTTTCGAAATGATTTGTTGCTTATACTGCTTATGATCAAAACCACATATAAAATAAAGTCGAGGGGTACATGAACACAAGTATTAAGAATGTTCACATACAGTATTACATCATCAAGTAGAGATTAAAAAAAAACAATTTCACAACCAAGTTATAATAAAGAAATAAACTAAACAATCATGATATTTAACCATGTGTAATGCGCGCACGTGCATTTCACCTAGTTATATAAAAAGATTTAGGTTAAGGTGATATGCTTTTGAATAAGGATTTTAAATTATAGCTTAAGAGAAGAAGGCTTTAAATAAGCGGGTTTCTAACCAGCCAAACTAACCTTCAGGTTTTAGCAAAATGTCTAACCAGTTAATTCTAACTTCACGGTCGAAATATAGGTTGTCTAACCAAAAAAACGTGCCTATAACTTATGGCTAACTTGCCTCTAATAAAACTCACTAACATTTACTAATTATTATTAAAAACACATGGGCCTAATAATAATACTAATGGGTTTTTATTTAAAGATCATATTTAGATTTTAGTCCCTCACATCCTCAATAATTTAGTATCACTCCCAAATCTTTGACATTACTTATAAATCCATTGAACCCCCTACTGGGTCTTGCAAATTGGTTTATCTGTTTAATTTTAATTTTATTAAAAAGATTTCAAACTGTGGTTTAATATTTGTTTATCTATCATCACAGATCATAGGCTAAGATTTAATTATGAAACCACTTTTTAACCTCCTTTCTTCTCTTTGTTGGAACTTCCAAATATGATGAAGTATGTTTTATTACCCCCCCCAGCATCTCCAACAGCTTCCCCAAAAATTTCTTCAAAATGGGGAATCAAATGTCATATTCTCCAAATTATTTTTGTTCCAACTCCAACAGCTTCCCCATTTTGAAGAATCATGCATTTATTACAATAATAAAAATATTCTACATCTTTGACTAATAAATAATAAATTATTTATTATTTTAAAGAATCCCCATTTTGACCAAATTATTTATTATTATAATGAGGAGATGGAGTTGTTTTTTGTGGGTTGAGTCTAGAAGAACGTGAAAAAGTGCTTCCCCAAATATTTGCAGAATGCTGCAGATTTAGGGAAGGCTCTCTATTTTTTCTCTCCTATCCCCATTTTGGGGAATGAGATGGGGAATCTGTTGGACCAAAAAAAAGCTCAAAATTCTCCAAATTTTAGAATACCAAGAAGATGGGGAAGCTGTTGGAGATGCTCTAAGACTAAGACTAACATGTTGTATTTCCCTATTGTAATCAGTAATTAATCCCCAGACATATAGCGTCAAGTGCAATGGTTATTTATGATGGAAAGCCTTGCAAAGCGTGTTCTCTCCGACCGATGACCTCAAAAAACCCCAAACCCTAATCCCTGTCATATCCTGGAAGGTGTTTGATATGGGGAAGAAGATGGAAGGCGTTTGATGTTGGGACTGAGAGGGCTACCGATTTGCTTATCTCCAACCCTTCACAGATCGAGAAATATCCTCAACGGTTATATATTAATTTGTGTGCAATTTATGTTAGTGGCCAGATTCGAGGTGAAGTTGCATGCGAGCAGTTCTTTTAATTCGATCCCATTAATTTGGAATACTTGTTTAGGTAATTTACTTTGATTCTAATGTAGATCTTTGACTGCAATCATATCATGTTATTGCACACGTAAGTAGTGCTAGTTCCATAGTGATGCCGGTCTAATTAGCTTCGTAGGTTCGATATATGCAAAGGTGCTTCAAATGTTGTTATGTTTCTGGATTGAACCATTAATTGTGCTTATTCTTTGTTTTTCGGTTGTACTAGTGCAAGTATGTGTTGCCCCCTATCATGCTCATGTTGTGGATACATATTCGAATCACTTTCATTTGACACCCACAAGATCTCCTAGCTTGAGCAGCAGGAACATGCTAGTTTAATTTGAGGAACTTCAATTTTAGTCATCGAGCTTAATTTTAGCAGATTCTGAAGGTAAATGAATCAAGTTATCCATATTTCTAAGGATGTAGTTTGATGACATCCAACGTGGTCCACCATAAAGTCCAAAGTGATTTAGACATACAATTACTCCCACTGTGGTAGCCATCTTCTGTTTGTCGTAAAATGGATCTCAAAATTTGTATCAATTGAATTGTTTGTTACAAATCGAGATCGACTTTACACAGAAGCGAAGAGAATGAATCTAATCTCTCCTTGTTTAACGTGAGTTCTTGGTAGCGATAGGATGCCTCTCTCGATGCTCGTGTCGAGTTTGCTTCCCTTTGACAATTTGAACAAGATTGCGAATCAAACTTCAGCTCATAGTAGAAGTTTGGTAGAAGAATTTGATCACCCGAGCTTGAATATCAAGGCCGAATGCAAAGGAAATGCAAAGAATTCGGTTCTCAAAAAGTTCAAGAGCCAAAAAAAGTCCGAAGATCCCCCTCTCATGTAGCCGGATATGGCTATTTATAGCTGAGAAAGATCGTAACCAACCCCTTAGAACGTGGGAAGTGGGCGTAACCACTCCCACAATTCAAGTAGGCGGTTTCTAACCGTTCAGGCGAGCTAGCGAACATGCGAGGTTGACAGGCAAACCCCTTAAATGTTCAGACGAGCTTAAACCCTGTTGGCGAGCTTGGATTGTGTGGGTGAACCTCCTACAGGCGAGCTTTGCCCGTGTGGGTGAGTTAAGCGTTCAGACGAGCTTAACTCATAGGCGAATCTAGCAAGATAAGCGTTCAAGCGAGCTTAGCTAATTTGCAGGTGACGTCGGCGAGCTAAAGTATTCAAGCAAGCTCAGCTAACGTGCATGTGAAGTTGGTCTATGTAGGCAACTTCATGAGTTTAAGCATTTAGGCGAGCTTAACTCATAAGCGAAGTTTAGCCTTGCAGGCAAAGTCGGCGAGCTAAACATTCAGGCGAGCTTAGCTCCTTTTAGGCGAAGCCCAGTGTTCAGGCGAGCTTCACTTCGTCTGCGAAGCTAGGCATTCAGGCAAACATGACTTGGCCTATCTGATTTAGGCGAACCAGCAGAACGAGTTTTGTTCATGAGAACTTGAGCATACAGGCGAAGTTTAGCCTTTGCAGGCGAACCTCAGCCTTGTAGGCGAGCTAATTAGGGATAAAAGCAATTTCATTTGCCTACAAAACCCCTTCCAAAGTATTCAGATCTCCTCAGTGGCTTATAGAGGAGTCTGGAATACTTTGGATATTTAAGTCCGCAAAATAATCATCTGGAAAAGTTGAGCTCTTCAGGCGAGCTCCATGGACTTAGGCGAGCTAAGTGTTCAGGCGAACTTAGCATCGCAGGCGAGCTTGAGTTTGCAGGTGAGCTAGTAAGCTATAGGCAAGCCTCAAGCAATTACATACGTGCTCGAGAGCTGCAGACGAGCCAAGCACTTGTAGGCGAGCCTTGGAGTTTGCCAGCTAAGAAGGCGATGGCATGTCAGGTCGCATTAAATGCGATCTGACGGGGCGTCCTCATTTTCACGCGCTCCATCCGAGCCGTTGCATCGTTTGGATTTTTTTGATCTTAGTCATTGTTCTCGATATGAATCCTGGTCGTTTAATTTGAAAGCATGTATCGCGGCCACTCGTTTGAATCTGAAGTGTCTCGACGCTTGGATAACGAATCTGAACCGTTCATTTCGGAGCTTAATCGCGATCGTTCTAAACCGTCACTTCGGTTGAGATATCAAATCTTAACAGTCGATTCATTGCCTATATATAGGATTCTTCTTCCTCCTTGAGAAATTTCTGCACACTTGAAATTTTCTTAGCCAAAAATTCTTGAGCACTTTTCTTGCTTCACCCCGCCATGGCAAACTTTATTGCTTGGCAAACTTTGCCTATTCTGGTGAACTTTGTCATCAGGCGAAGTTCACTTTAATCAAGCAAGGTTCGCTCAGTCAGGCGAGCCTTGTTTGTCAGGCAAGGTTCGCTCAG